GGAATAACAAATCGTTCAACAAGTTGCAAGAAAATTATTTTTCCGGAACTTTTTGTCCTCCAGCAGTTTCGAAAGTGAAAGAACCTGAACGAAGTCATTTATAAATTCATTGCTTATCCCTCTGAGAACCTTACAGATTCCCTATATTTTCATTCGCTCCCAAAGGAATATGAGCACAAAGATATAGTAATTTATGAACAAATATGACGTTTTGAATAATATGCCATCTTAAGCTAAAGCTACGGAATCTTCTATTTAAGAAATGGATCTGATAACAGCGATAAAGCCTCTGGGTAATGCATCGTTTCATTTACGCTTGTGGCTTTACCTACATCAATGGAACGTCACGAAAACTCAGAAAAAGGATACAAACGGCAATATGCACTTAATAAATGGAGTTGTAGGTAAAGGCCCAGTGGTGAAAGAACACAGCATAGTCAAGAACATTATCATCCTGTGGCGAAGGGAAACTCTGAAAAAGGAAAACACTGAAAGTCGTAATTGCGGAAATGAACGAACAATTAAATGAATGAACGGGAAAAGGCGTACACGATTAACTCAGCCTAGTTGTCACTTTTTCATATTCACAGCCCATCCCTCGCTGTAGTATTTGTTTTATTATGCATCTATTTTGCAATATATTTGCTATTGTACCATCTGATGCACCTGAACCCGTAGCATTTTTGATCACTAGTCAAAAATCCAGTTCCAGTAAAGCTCGTTTTCCCTGAGGGGAGGGAGGGTGGAGGAGGTGGAGATTATACAAAGTGTTGCATTTGCTGGAAGTGGTTTTTTATCGTGAGATGCACGATAGTTTTAGTTCAGTAAATCATCTATGAAATTTATTTTAAAGCCAGGACCTTCTCCCGCTTGAAGTTTTCGTCGGGAGACACATCATGCACTTTTGCCAGTGTGCTTGCTGTATCGGCCGTGTAATCTGCCTCTGTGCCTCACTGGTGAGCATACGAGTGCATGTTAATGCTATTTCGAAATTGAATTGCTTGTAAAGTTTATTGAAACAGAAAGTAAATTAAATTCGGCTAGACTATAGATGAGAGAAATTGATATTTTCACCAGAAGTACTCGCTCCATTGGGAATCCTATAATCGAGGTTTTTCAACTCACAATGTAACTTGAGGAGTATAATACCGTGGGATTTTGATCTGACCGTATTTTTGTCGCTTTTGTTTTTTTCGTACCTCTTCAAATTTGATGAGATTTTCTAGAATATATACTAGTTGGCTGTTTTGCTATATTTTTTTGTCTTGTATTTGCACGAACTTTAATCTGAGCCTGATTTTTGTTCGTGTTCGCCAAATACGATTTTTCTCTTCTCGGATTGCCTGAATTGTAAGATAGTTAAATCTTGAGTGTGGTACATCATTTTTTTACGCGAGAGATGATATGATGCTTTGATGTCACAGACGGGAGGACGACGCATAAAATGTTCTAGGTCATAAATTAACAAGGTCATCTGATATTTCGATCGA